CGTTTAAGACAGACATAAGACCGAGAAAAGAGAGATGAGAAAAAAGATTCTAACGTCTTTACATCCCTTGGTATTGGTAGATAGGTTTTTTACACTTTCATCGTTCCGCCGGTGCAAGTTCTTCGTTTTAATCTCTATCTGATATCTTTTTAACGAAGATAACGACATTAAGAAACCACAAAGTCGTCCACAAACTTCTCCGCAAGTTTCTTTATATCCCTATTTTTTTTTAAATTTAAAAATTACAAATATTCGCCGTACTGTTTCGATAAAATTAAATTTATACAAATAAGATAAAGAAATAAATCACTAGTTCATTGGAAACAGTCGTGCCATTTTAGTCTTCTTAAAGTACTACATAAAACGAGAACAGTGATTCGAACTACCCTCTAAAGCCGTTGCCTCGCGAAACTCGTTTTGATTTAATTTATGCAACATGGTCCACGTTTCCCACCCCGGTCTTAAGGCCCTTTTGTACAGTTATTAATGCCTTGGGCCACTTCATTTTCACCGTACGCACACCATCGTACGTACCATCGCTACCTGCCGTCACTCCGGATGCTGCGATTCGTTCCTGTATATGCAAATTTGAAGGATCGAGAGAGAAAGAAAGAAAGAGAATGAGAAAGTATAGGTTAGAAAAAGAGGAAAGTATTTTGGTAGACATCTGCTTGTGACGAACAATCGTCGGAAAAATAATAACTGTTTTTACAGCCAGAGAATATGTAGCCGTAGCAAAAGCGACTCTTTAGAGACATGATCCTACTTCGAGTAAGACATTTTAATATATTCGATTGTATGCATGACTTTATATTCAATTTTATTAAAAATATTGTTTGATTGTACTTATTAAGAAATTTTCCTAATCTTTAATCTGTGTTCAAGAAATAGAAAATATTTGAATTCTGAATACTCAGTTTTAATTTTATTATACATTGCTTTTAAAAATTATTCGTTTTAAACGTAAATCGTAATGGTGTGTAATTGAGAGAGAGAGAGAGAGAGAGAGAAAGAGAGAAAGAGAAAAAGAAAGAGTGTAACTTCCTAGAATATTTATTTAAAATACTACCCAAGAATGCAATTAAACCTGCTAGATCTTTAATTTATATTTACAGAAGCAATTTAATCACTATTGACTATTATTAGTGCGAGAAAGTCTGCTTTATAACACGCATAAATCGCTTCGAAGCGAATTAATGCTTCCTCTCAAATACGTGAACTATTTCCAAACGTTAAAATTAAAAGTGGGATAACTGAGAGCCACTGAAAAGGGTGGAACAGGGATCTACTACTTCATCCTTGTATCGTCGATAACGTAGAGTGCTATGTTAACAATGTAGTCTAGTGAATTACAGAGCCCAGTACGGCCGAAAGAATACACAGACATCTATTCACTAACAGTTCAAACATTTTCTCGTGCACAGTTGATAATTTTTTCTAGGGTGTTTAATAATTATATATAAACACAATAAAGTATCATATTAAAAAATTTTTATATAAAATATGAAACAATTATATGAAAAAAAAAACAATGTTTATTGTACAAATAATTCATTTAATATATATCAAATAAATATGAGATCAAAATAACACGAATATCTTTAAGTTTACTTATCTTAAATATAATACGATTTATAAAAATCATTAAATAATATTTTTATTTTTTGATAGACTTGAAAATAAAAAGATAAACAAATTTTAAAAACAAAAAACATTTCATGAAGTTAACAAAAGGTAAAAATTTACGATGAAAGAATTACTTGATTAATTGGCAAATCTTACAACATTTTGTTAATGATTAAAATTAATAGGACGAAAATATTATTATTGTCTTTTTACTTCTATTTTTACAAACTTGAGCGCCACTTCTCTACTAAACCTTCCTAAATTATTCAATACTACCAAAGAAGTAGCAATCTTTTTACCCACCTCTTTAGAAGAGTCAATAGCACACAGTTTTTGTTTTTCCAAATGGATCACCTATCCATTTTACTAATCATGCTCACACGTTACTCTTGACTTCAATGATTTGATGGAAATTCGTAATCCAACGTGAGTAGACTATTGACTGAAATTATTCTTTTTATTCTTTTTATAAAGAATAACGAAATTTAACACAATATTTTAATGTTATCACAAAAATATTTTTAAGAGTGCAATTTATGCATATTTAAAACGCTTACTATCTTGAAAATTGCCGAAAGTTCAATCAAAGGAATAATATATCTGGTAATAAAGTGCATCAAGCCTTTCAAAATTCTTCGAGAATGTCCTGTTAGAACGAACAAGCTTCCCCTAAAGAAGATCGATCTTCCAAGACGGCGCACTAATTGCGATCCCTTCAACTCTCCCTCCCATCACTCTCTGTTCCTCTCTGTCTCTCTTGTTCGGGCGAAACATAAGCCGCGGATTACCTTACACGTTAATTATGCCGTAATTAACTCTCGTCGTTGTCACCGAGCGAGGGGAAACTGTAGAAAGTCGACGAAGCAATTTTGTACCGTTTACCACGAAAATCCTTCCTAACTTCCTATCGCTATCGACGTAGAATAAAACTTTACAATGGCGCCTATCGACAATCGTGAAAAAGAAATACTACAAGAAATACGAACTCGACGTCATTAAAACTTCTTTTTAAAGCCATTTGAAACGGCTATCTCGATAATGTTGTCAATGCGCAAAAAGAGACTTTAATGATGTATGATCGTCCTATTTTAGATATAATAATTCAAACTTACCATTAGAATTCCTAATATTTTTGTTTAAATTTTATAATTACATATGTACCGATAATTGTGACAATGAACTAAGTCAACAAATTAATAAAATCGATAATTGTAATATAAAATAAACCATAAAATTCATTTTTCCTATTTTTTGACTTGATTTATTGCCATAATTATTAGCATACATATATTTATTTATGATATAATGACAAATTAACAAATAATATAAATCATCTATACATTTTATGTAGATAATTCGAAACTTAATTAAAACGTTAAATACAGTCCTTTATGAAAATTGTCGGCTTCATTTCTTGATAGACTTTATATTCTTTGAAAAAATAATGCAAGAAAGATCAAATGTAATCGATTATTATTAAAACGATCAGATTATCGCTCGTGATAACGATTTATATATTCAATGATCCGATGCAATGAATCGAATTACCTGTCACTACGGAAAAGGGTGCATCGTGCCAGGTAACAGATCGGGCTGCCATGCAACAGGTACGAATACCCTCTATTACTTTCACACCATCGATTTTATGCTTAATAGAATCGATTTCGATTCTGTATCTCACATAGCAGGTACCAAGCACGGGTTCAGGTCAAATTCGAGCACGTAGGGATTGATTTTTATTTGGTATTGAATACACCCTTTTAAGAAAATTTTACAGGTCACGAGCCACTTGAATTGAAGTCATTTCAATGCCGTCTCTAAGATTTGATAGATATATATCTAGATTTTTTAAGATATAGACTGAATTATAAAAAATTAATAAAAAACTTTGGTTTGCCTTTTATAATTAATTTATATCCGATTAAAATAGAAAAGTAAACCAATATATTAATTATATTTCTTCGATATCTGTACTAATATAAAAAAAAAGTAGAAGATCCTTAAATATATAGCAGACGCCATTATTCAAAAGGGAAGCTCGAATTGTAACGCTAGAGGAGAGCCCACCCTCTAATCCCCCACTCTAACCACCCCTTCTCAATGTGCGCCAAGTTATACGTGTAAGCTCCATTGCTCGACGGCCAAAAAACGATTCTTTATATTCGCAATAATTCATTAAATATTTTATAACGTATGAAATAAACACACGTGTATAACAATAAAAAATATACGTTTACTCACTGCATTATAAATAAACAAATCTTTGAATAATAAAATTTACGAACAATAAAACTTGAGATGCGTATTAAACAAATACTTGCATGAAAAATAAAAGATAATATCGAACGATATGATTTATAAATAAAATACTTTTTAATACTCGCATCAATAATCAACAACAATTTACCATAAAATTGGCAATTACTGCGTCAGTATGTAAGAGCTCATGTGGGAGCCGCAATAATCGCGATTTCTCGACGTTGATACCACGGCGTTCAATTAAAAACATTTGAAAATTTCCCGAGGTAGATTCCCTGGGATTTCCTGAGGAATAAGCACAGAACGAAGGAGAAATCGCTCGAGCGCAATAAGTCAAATCTTGTTTGCGAGTCGGTACCTAGTTAAGAACGACTGGCCGGGTCTACCCTGAGAGGGGTTGATGAGGAAAGCTCGAAGATGGAGGCTGTGGCAGAACGAAGAGGGCGGCTGGCTGGCTGGATGGCTAGCCGACCGACCAGCCGACCGGGAGGGATTCGAGCACGAGCCTGGAGGAGTTCCAGAGAAGAGAGAAGGGAGTGAGCACCTTCCTCATCGACCGTATAATTAAACCGGGCGCTGATTAAAAAAGTTACCACGGCCGTAAGATCATTACAGGGACCTTCATTCACCCTCCTCCACCCGTGGCCTCCCAACCTTTCTTTCCTTTCCTCTCCTTTCCTTTCCGCTTTCCTGCGTTTTCAGAACCCCTTGAGGGTGCAGATTCTTTCCACGCGCTACTTTTACAAGGAAGATTGCGAACTCCAGTCATAGAAGCTCCTTGATATGTCGCCTTCAAGATCTTTCTCGAATTAATTCCGTTGAAATCGTTTTCAGTGACGTATCAAATATTGACGATTCATTTTCAATATAATTTTCATCTCTACATAGGAAAAAACAGTATATCATATTAATATTCAACCTATCGACAATGTATTCATTCTTATTTACACCGTAACCGATCCAATAACTGGTTTTTATTACAATTCATATTTTGTACACTTCAATTCACATAATAGACACTTTAGTACAGGTAATTATTAAATAATAATAGCAAAATATTTATAATTATAATTACCTTAAAATAAAAGAAAAGAAAGCAATAACATTGAATGCAGAGTTTTGATTCTAAATTCAAAACCGATAGTGATATGTTTAATTAGGTTATAACTAAAAAATATTCTAACTTTGAGAATGATGTGCTTCTATTCTAATCGAATTATCGTGTATAAGAAAATGTATATAAATGCCATCGATTTTCTTTCGTTCTATCAACTTGTAAAATTTCATCAAAATTAAAATGGACGACTTCAAAGATGCTTCCTTTGAGTATCTCTTCTCCTTTGGGAATGTAAGAAAAAGGAAATCTAACCCTTTTCTCGGAAGCAACATTATTGAACGCAGCACGTAATCTTTAATTGACCCTCCTATATATCTTCGGAGAACAGTGTGTCGGTGAAACGAAACTTATAAACTATATGACAACCTTTATGAACAAAAAAAAATGATGACATTGGAATAAAGAAAGATACTTCTGCAAAAAAAGGAATCAGTTTCTAATAAACAGAAATATTACAAAAAGGAAGTATTCAAACTCTGCGAATTATTACAAATATATCGTAAAGATACCGACGCTAATTCAATAAATTTTCTCATTGCGATAGATAAATTAAGACTGATTGAAATTCATAAAAAACATAGTAAAGTTTACAAACAAAACATCTTATTATGGAAATAATAAGCAAACATAAACAACTCTTCAGAAACATTGAAATTCAATATACGTTTCGTAAACATTGCTCGAAATCCAATTTATCCATCATTTAACGAAATAGTTTACATAGAGTTTTCTCGAAAGAAGTCTCGTTCGACATCTTAGCAAATCCTCTTTTTGAATGGGGTCTAGGCTCTCTTGGACACCAGATAATAAAGATCTTATTCCGATGGTAGAAACTTTCTTAAAATTCAATGTAAGCTCCATGAGTATCTCTGAAAGATCCGGTCGACAACCCCCGTCGAACAAGCAGCCCCTTCAGCCGATGGCGACGGTGCCTGGTTTCCTGGTTACCATGGCGATTCTTTTGCTTGACAGGTGGCTCCAAACCCCACCCCACCCACCTCCACCTCCACTTCCTCTTCCTCCTCGTCCTCCTTCTCCTCCGTCATGCCGTACTACCCCTCTAGACTCGTTCGTTCTGCCTGCCACGACTACGACGAACCAATCGCGCACAGCGAAAAAATATTCAATCACGCGTCAAGAACTGGAGGGTGGTAGTGGTATGGTAGTGGTGGTGGTGCTTGCGTCGGTTCTGACGATGGTAGTTGCCGAGGAGAATCAACTCCGTTCTCTCTCTTTTTCTCTTTCTTTCTCTCTTTTTCGTACTCTTTCTATTTCCCGCTTGCTTACTCGCTTGCTCATCCCACTCTCCTTTCACGGACGAGAAACGAAAGTCGATGGCGGTGGTATGGTGATCGAACCACCCCCTTCCGATGCGGAGAAACAGCAAACCCCTACCCCGATCAAAGTACGATGGAATAATAAAATGCCTCCGATTACATATTCAAAATCAATGGCTCCGTACCTTCTACATACAAAGGGGTGGGTGGGGTTTACCTCCTCCACTGTCAAGCTTACGAAGGGAGCAGGCAAGCGGAATATGGTCGTACATACTCTAAGGTCCGACATTTTAAGCAACCACACCCTCTTTATTCATTTCATCCCCTCCCACCTCTATTACATATTTTTATTACATATTTTCAAAATTTTTTACATAATTTTTGGTGCATCTAATCATATATTTATTTTGATTATTATATAATTATTAATTATCTTACATGAGAAAAAGTTTCCCTGAGTTAACTCGACCAGAAAGAAGAAATAATAATAATAATAATAATAATAATAATAATAATAATATCTAATAATTATAATAATGCATCTTCGTTCTATCATACAAATTGAGTTGAAAAGATTTTAATTGTATCTTTACTTAATTAATAGTAATTACACACAAACGAGTAAAGTCGGCAACTTTATAAAAGTTGACGGAGTGGAAAGCCGTCCAGACCATTACGAGAACTAAATTACTTACGATAATTTCACAGACAATTGAAGAGAAAACGGATGAGAGAATGCTACGCGAAGATTAATCAGAGACTAATTGATCCTCCTGAGATTAAGGTCAACCTTTCAAGACGGTGCATTGAGAAAAATCTGTTGGTAATGGAATTAAATCAGAATGATAAAAAATGAGTAAATCCTTACTAAATTGTAATCTTCAAAATTAATTTCTAACAATAAACATTTATTTATTCTACCGTCTATAACATTATTTTTGATGTTAGATTTTATAATAATATTTTTCTTAGCTTTGCTTTCACTATATATTTTCAAAACAATTTATAAAAAATAATAAACAAAAAAATATTGCGTATGCATAGTATCCTAAAATTCACTTCACCGAACTAAAAAAATTTAAATATTTTGTTTATAGATATTGTTTTGTAGAGTCGCTGCATCATGATCCTATACTTTTGTAATAACACAATAACTGAAGATTCATATCTTAAAATGATAACCAAAATAATATAATTTTATTAATAAACTAATATTGATTTTTATTCTCTCTTTTCCGTAAAATTACTGTTAAGATATACTATTCCTATAATAATAATCTAATTGTAAAATTATACAACTCTAAAATCATATCCGAATCGTCACTCTAAAAAGCATAACATTTTGATAGTAAATCAATTTGGCAGCACCATCGTCTGTCTTTTCGATTTAAACGACACTTTCGATTACAATTGGTTTGTAAAATGTTTCGATCTAAATATAAAAACATCGTTCGTGATTCTATCACATCGATCACGTTCAATATTTTTAGCGTATCGTCACTTCAAGTATAAAAAATACGTTAAATCAAATCTAACGTGACAAGAAAACAAAAATTATTCGAACAGCTCGCGAAAGAATTTTTATTTGGAAATAGTAACGGCGTGGATATTTGATGGCCGGCCGTTTAGAAACTGGCCTCTTGCATTTTGCATGAACGAAGGACGGGTTCTAGTGCCAAGGGCCACCCTTTTGCCGGCCACGTAGTGGGGTGAGCCACAGATCTGGTCAGGTTTCGCTTAACCCCTTACTACTCGTCTTTGAATAGTACGAAGTACGTTATTTGAATACTATCAACAGTTCAAGAAATCGATTTTACACAAGAATTTCAGAACATGATGCATTATACTTGAGATATAAATGAAAATACAAAAGATGACTATGAAGAAAAAAAGATCATTTATTCCAAATCAATGGAAATATACTTGCAAGAATGATTATTGTGATCATTATTATGAACTTTCCATTCTTAGATATAACTGCTTGGTATAACGTTCGTATTTAATTAATTAACGTATGCATTATTATTAAACTCATTTTGTTTTTATGAATTTTTAAATTAATAAAGAATAAAAGATAAAAAATAAATAATAAAAAAACTCGATGAGAGGGATTGTAAAAAGAAAAATCAAAAGAAGAAAAAAGATTTACAATTACTATGTTCTAAAGTTTATCTTATTGTTAGCTATATAGACTTCATAGTATATTATTACAATTTAACGTTTAAAATCATAATCTTGTGAACTGATCCAAGGTAACAATATGATGAGCAATCAAAATTATAACAAGAAAGGATATAAAATTTTTTAAATAAAAAATTGAATTGCAATTTAAGGTTACAAGAAACAAATAAATTAATGCGATTTAATGGTCGTGTGTAAAAAATATAATAATCGGTCGGATCTTGAAAAGGACATCTCAACGTTAAGCATAGCGGACATTCGATCTTATGACATAATGATCGCTAGAAGTCGTTAGGAAAGCATCGTTGGACTGCGAGAAACGATAGACAAAAGCAACAGTGCTTTTTTTGCTCGGCCAGCTGCGAAATGAAAAGCAAAGGGGGACATTACTTAATAAACGTGCGCATCCGGGGTGCGGTCCGGTCGGTATTGTTTCAGAATCGGTAAATGGGCGTCTGCAAACGGATGCGTGCAGCCAAAGGGTTAAGGATTAAGGGTTGAGAATCGTAACTCGGACCCACAATGGACACCTGGACGGGTCCACGGGAGTTCTTACTAAAAAAAAAAGAAAAAGTAAAAATGAAAAGAAAATCTTTTTCGTTTGCTTCTGGACATCTGCCGCTTATTGGTGCTGCATAGTTTTAGCAATGTACCAAGAACCATATTACATGATTATTAATCGTTTATAAAGAAATTAGGAAAAAAAATGTCACAATTGTTATTTTAATCGGTCTATGGGAATATCGTCGAAGAAGTATTCAAAAAAAATAAAAAATATCAAAGAAGACATCCTGCATGGAATATGATCTTCTAGTCTATACAATACAGAACCTTTTACCAACTATTCTATATATATACATTCTCTGTAAAGGATCCTTTCTAATCCAAATATTACAATGTCATCTACCGGTTAAAAAAAAGCGGTCCGTCAAAGTGACAAAAATCTAACACTATGATAATTTAGTATGTAAGATGAAAGTATGAGAACCCAGAGCCGTGGAACGAGTCACTCAAAGACTCGTTTTTTTTCGCCTGATTCAGGACCACTCGGAGACCCTTGTGTCTCGGCGAAAACAATAAGTTGCATAATAAGCGGGCCGAATAAAGAGGAACCTGTTTCTCGGTCGATGGGGAAGAAGAGAGAGAAGAATGAGAAAGGATAGGAAATAAAAAGTACCAAAGAAAATGTAGGCTAAAGAGACTGCCGAGAAGAAGGAAGAGAATCGGTATATTAACGCGTTGCACCGTCTCGTTGGAATTATGATCTTTGGCCCTCTCTCTTTCTCTTACTTTCTTTCTCACTCTTTCTCTTTCTTTTTCCAGTAAGAATGTCGATAAAAAAGGACAAAACGACACACTAATAATGTATGCACCGCGCAGCTGGCAGCAACGTTTTGTTCTTCTTCGCGCTACAGGTTCTTGAATTTCACACACGTCGTGCCATGGCTCTGCGACTCTACGGGATTGTACGGTGTTCCTCTCTCTCTTTCTCTCTGTCTGCCCTTCCGAAGGAACCCCCTATTGTTTTACCTCACGAGACCAGTTTTTGTTTCATTCTGTCTCTCTCTCTCTCTCTCTCTCTCATTCTCGTTTGCTCGCTTTCTGTACAGCTTATTATGTACGCTAACATGCCATTCGTGCAAGCGATTGTTCGCACGGACAAACTTCGAATCTCCTCGCCCGTTCCTAACACGAAACGCGCGAGAAAGGGTCCGCGAACGAAGCTGGTGAAATACTAAGAAAGAATCGATACGAAAAAAAGCGAAACAATGAAAGGGTTAAAGTTGATACAATTGAGAAACGCGAGAAACGTAATACCGATGTGTACATGTGATTTATTTTTATAGCCAAACCCCAGTTCGCGACAAGGGGTAGCAACGGATTTATCGTTTTGTGAATTGATCTAACGGTTTATGACTAACGAACAAAATTATAACAAAAACAAGAATATCAAAATTCTTCAATAAGTCTGTTGACCATTTATGTGTTTATATGTAAGTAAGTAAATTCAATTATGTTTCTATCTTGAGATCGAATAAATAATTATCCATAAAAAGAAAGTTAAAAGAACAACAAAAGAGGTCGATGCCGATTTTTCTGTCGAACGCCTAAAAGAACAATTTCACCCCTCTTCCCGCTTTCAACGAAAATTTCCATTCGAAGCGGTACGTCTTCGATAATAATCCATCGTTACCGGAGGATAGGCACGTCCGACGGATCGGTCCACGGGTATAAATTGAAATGCTAAAAGCGGAATTGGGTAGGAATTAGGAAAAACGCCACGAAATGGAATGATGATTACGCAATGGTAGGAGAACGATAGGAGGAAGAAAAAGGGAAAGGAGAAAAAGAAAAAAGAAAAAGAGAGAGAGAGACTGCAAAGTGCGGACGGAGGGTTGATTCGTGGATGAAGTCGAAGGAATTCTTTCCGTCGTTCTTAAGGGGTCAGAAAAGGAAAGCAATGGCGGACGTGATGGCCAGCCAAGGCCGCCGGCGGTAGTGGCAACAGAGGGGGTGGCAACCGATGAGAGGGATTGTGCGAAGGGTAAGGAAGAAAGAGAAGTAGGCACAAAGGGAGAGAGAGAGAGTTCACGATGGTAGAGGGTGTTCCGAGTAGCGCGTAAATAACTTCCATCTTCGAGGGTCCAACCACCCCCGGTATGCAACCAGGCACCAGGAGGACAGACCTCGAACGTGAAGGCGGGAGTGAGGGCGAAGGGGACAGAGTAAGAGGAAGCAAAAGAAAGCTTCTCTCTTCGAAGATGAGCGAAGCGAGCTCAGCTTCGGTACGAACCGAATGGTAGAAAGGAAAGAGGAATTAGAGACTCGACAGTGCTGCCGGAGGAGCCAGATGTAAAATATTCTTAATGAGCAAAGACTTTCAAGTATTGACTCAACATGGCGGCCGTCCTTTCATGTCGGCTTGTTAAGCATTATTCCGCACCTCTCTCTCTCTCTCTCTCTCTCTCTCTTTCTCTCTCTCTCTTTCTCTTCCTCTCTATTTCTCTCCGTGTACACCTCGACCTCCCGCCTGCGCTTTTTATTGTGCGGTCCAACCTCTTTTTCCTCCCTCTTTTTGTTCCCTATCTCTTTTTCTATTCTTTTTCTCATAAATCGTATTCCCTCGTTCCTCACCATATCCTATACTCTCGAATCTCCTTGACTTTACGATCCCCAAGTAAAGAGAACGACTTCGCTTTCTTTGTCAAGAAGCGAAAGACACGAAAGAAGAACTCTACGAGAAAGAATAAGAAATCTATGCAAGGATTTTGTCTCTGGTTAGACGAGTATTATGACAATAGTAGATCAGATCACTAAAAATTAAAAAAATGTTAAATTCTTTCTTAACCCTTCCTTTTTTTACTTTTCTTCCTTGAATAGACGAAAGAACAAAAATAAAGTAAAGAAATTCAACATTAAAATATCAGAATATTTAACAGACACAAGAAAGTGTGTCCACGCAAGAATAATGACAAATCTGCCATTTCAAAGATTATTCTAGATAAATTATAAATTACCTGGACTTTTCTTTTAAAAACGAGGGACAAATTTTTTGAGAATCGTCGACGTAACTTTTTCTAAAGCTATTATCTCAATAACTGAAGCGAATATCAGCAGAATTTTTCATGCTGGTTGAACAATCTTAAAAGAATAATTTTAAATTATTCAAAGTAAGTTTCATAAAGTACTATATTCTTTAAAAATCTTGATAATGTATATTATTTAAGGTATCTTACTTTTGGTTGTCTTACCATATCTTATACAAAAAAAAATAAAATTCATGAAAGATGAGAATTTTGATAGAACTTCGGAATATTTGCAGTCGAAGATTCGAAATTCTTTGAGACCACTCTAGGAGACTGCCAACTTTAGTAGTTTGAAGACTATTAAACCTTCCGTAGAAAAACGGTACTTTCGTACGAATGGATCGTCCGATGGATTATTTAAAAGAGACATCCAGGGGCCATGAGGTACGAAGCCTGAGGCTTGTTAGAACTTGGCTCTCGCTTTGAACCCTCGTAGAGCCTCACCATGTCCTCGTGAGGGATTGAAATAAGGGTTAAAAATGTATAAGATAAGATAGAGAACGATGGAAGCAAAGAAAGAAAGAAAGAAAAATAGAAAGAAAACAGATAGATAGAAAGAGAAAAGAAAAGCAGGGCTATAAGAGAAGAGGGTGGATGGCAAAAGGGTGGTAGATAGGAAAGAATGAGAGAAAGAGAGAGACAGAGAAAAGTTTCATTATTGATCAAAGAAACTGAGTGTCGGTACCCACCCCAAAAGCTCGTTCTATTCAACTCGCTTTCAGCTTCCCATTAAAAATACTGGTATTCTTTTTCCTACGTAGCCACTGTAGCTCTTTTTCCGATACCTCTTCACCTCACTATCCGATTGTCTTGCTTTACTTTACTTTGTTTTTTCTTTATTTATTTGCTATCACCTTCGTCTTCTCTTCATCTCGATCTTTACCCCTATCACGAGTGAAAAAAAAAATAATACTCCTTCTGAAATATTAGATCCATTGTTCGTAATGATGATTCACAGTGATCGATAATTCATTCATCTTTAACTAGAAAATAACATTTGTTCATTTATTTAAAAATAAAAAACTTTTATAAAAAAGATCACTTCGTAATTTTTATTGAAACTGCATTTTCATAGATATTTAGAAAAATTGTACTTATAATTAAAATACCCAACTAATGATTTCTTTTTAAATATTTCCGAAACGATAAATATATCGAAGTTATCTCGAGATATATCTATCCTTAGCAATAGTAGCTTCCAGTAACCACTCTAGTTCGTATTCGTCTAATGCGTATTATTATGCGTAGGCAGTTGTCAATTAATAGCTTGTCTGTTAAAATTTACAAATTTTTGTCATGACAAACGAAGATACAACGTGGGAGGAGTTATCAAAAATATCCGCAGATCCTCCTAAAGCAAGAGATAAATGTGTACAATGCAAGTATGTCATTTTGTTTACTTTTAGGTTATGTCTGTATCTTGGTTGTTTCATTTTTTATCATTATGCATTTGTAAAGTTAATTACATTATCTTTTTCTTAGGTTATGTGTATATTATTTAATGTATGTTGAAATTTGTCAACCATGACATTGAGAAAAAAATCCTTTAGCTAATTAGCAAGTTGTTAAGAAATTCAGTGTGCCATTATGTTCCTTGCTACAGAAGACCGGTAGTAGTATGTTGGTGTCCTGGTCTTCCAAAACAGCGACTGTGTCCTGAATCTAGGATCATCATTTTACAGCATCCAGCAGAAGTGAAACGTTGTTTACGTACAGCTCCTATGCTATCGCTTGGTTTAGAGGATGGAAAGTGCTTAACTTTTCGGTAAGGTAACAATTGTAAAGTTAAAAACACAAATAGAAACTGATATTTCAATTTACAGAGGAAAGAAATTCCCATCACCGAAACATGAAGGCTTAACAGAAATTTTAAATGACAAAAATACAATTTTATTGTATCCATCACCTGGAGCTGTAGCTTTGAATGAATTGGATCCCGTAGGCACAAATGGTCAAAAACCATATAATTTAATTTTATTGGATGGTACTTGGCCTCAGGCAAAGGTATAAATATTAGTTAACAATATGTGCGTAAAATTGTTAATAAGACAAATATGCAAAAAAGAATTTACACCATAGGCTATATATCATGCAAGCCCTGCATTATATTTACTTCGAGCCTACAAACTAGTAGGCGTACCAGTGAGCGAATATGTGATACGAACACAACCAACTGAAGGATGCTTATCGACTCTTGAAACAGGAGCATATGCACTTTCAATTTTAGAAGGAAATCAACAGTTAAAAAATATTATGCTTGGGCCTTTACATTACCTCTGCAAGTTAGTAATACTTCTTTGTTTAATTAGTCTCTATATCCTTTATATTATATATTGTACTTTACTATAATGTATTACAAAAAGATTACAGAATATGCATTTTAGATTTCAACTCGAAAATGGAGCAGTAACTCATCAGAGTAAAGAATTTTTAATGAAACAGAAAACTTACCCTAAACTTATAAGCAGACGTCTAGCTAAACAATTACGTATGTTACCTGAAGAATCTTAGTAAAGTAAGGCATAAAGTAAATTAGTAAAATAAGTTTCTACAACGAATAAGTATGCAAATGGCATAAAATAATATTTATTTTTATTTAATATTTTCAATTAAGATAATCATTATCAGTGTTAACCATTCTTATTTTTTTTTGGTGTATTTACCTTAAATTTGAACTCTATACTTCCGTTTTTCGGTACAAAACTAAAGGACCATGACAGTTTATCTGTACATGAAACATCTTTAATATTTCGAAAGATATGCACACCTTGTCTTGTAAATCTATCCCATGATATTCTCTCACCGGGTACTATTTCTTCAGTGGGCCCACAAGATATGCTTATCTCGGGATCTAATTGCCACTCAACCCACAATGCAACCCCATTGCATGATCCATTTCTAAATACGACAAATAATTCGTAAATTCATCCGAAATAATATAATTTTAAATATGCATCAATTAAAAGAAGTCTTACTGCAAAATAGGAACGTTATCCGATATTTGAATACTTTTATGATTATGAACATTTGAAGACAAGTCAAATGTATTTATAGTAAAAGGTAATGTCAAAGCTCGTGCTGGATATTCCCACAGAGGTTGTGCATCTATAGGACTATCACTTTTATCACTTGATTCCTATATAAAATTGTACAAAAAAGAATAAGATATTTTAAACTTCTACATATATAGAGTGCCTTACCTGAACAAGTTTGTCAAAACTAGATAAATCAAAACCTTCGCACACTCCAAGAGGTGCTCGAATTTTATATAAATCTCTAAACTCCACAGCAACTGCTTTTATTGTAGCTGCAATAGGTATTCTTTGAATACTTGAGTATTGTGAAGCAAGATACCAAAATCGAAGATTTTCCCATGGTACGATGGAGCTAATAAAGTATGGCTCACCAAAAATTAAATCTACTTTAATAACTGGCGGCAAATCATCTTTTGTTACAATTTCTACTTTTTCTTCAAGATTATTTGTCTTTATAAACATTTCAATAGTTCTTCGAGACAATATATTTGTTTCTAATACATATATTTTTTTAGCACCTAGTTGTGCAGCAGCTAGGCCTAATAAGCATCCATCTGATAAACAGAGACAAACAGAATTTGGATGAATCTTTTTAGATAATGCTTTTATGTATTTAATATTCCGTTCCTTATCATTCAATTGCCCTATGCGTGTTCTACAGTAAGCAATGTGCGTGATGCAAGTACATACTGGTCTATCGCAATTCGGTATATCTAATCTAAAATTAAAACAAAGTTCAAATGTTAGATATATAACAAAACAATGAAATCAATGCAATAAAAAAATAAAACATACATTGGATCATTTTTTATATCAAACCAAAAACAATATTCATCGTGATAGCCAACAAGATTAAACTTATTATTAACATTTATTTGTACTTCAGATGGAAGGTAATAAATAGACTGCATCCAGTGATCTCTCCATGGAATATTATCAGCTAGTTCATTAAGATTTATGTTATTATGTTTCGAATTTTTGGTCTCAGGATGTTCCCATACAGGTGCACAGCTTAATATAACCTATTAAATATCTATTATCAAAAATGTATATTACTTTGGTAGCATTAATTATTACCTTTCCTTCTGTGTCCATGTCTAAATCCCACCATAAAAATATAGCATGAGCAATACCACTATCAATTGGTAAAATATTTAAACACACTTTTTCATTAAACTGCAGAGGTGTAGTCCCAGACCAATCAAATCTAAAACATAAATAATTTAAATATTTTTTTTTAAACATCTTATAATACTAGTATATATGTGTATATATATCCTCACCTAAAAATAGGTTGTGGTGATATTAAAGGTTTGAATTCATCACGAGGAAGACGCGATAATTGAATGTCATGTACAGCTGCTGCCCCGGAGCATGATTTTATGCATAATGGAGCATTTATTAAAGTGTTTTGAGTCCTAGTATCACTGATTGATTCTATTCTATTCCATGCAGAAACGGATTTGCTTTCAACAACTTGTGCCCACATAGTACCACTATTTGGTATTATTATACTACCTTTCTAATAAAAAAAAATATTTGTAAATATATGTAAGTAATTCAAATATCTATCAGTTTAAAAATAAATTGTTAATAGTACTTCGAGTAATGTTTCATGAGCATGACGAAATGTAGATAATGCTCCTTCTCCGATAAGTTCAGTGTCAAATACTTCAGTCACCAAAATATTTGCTTTTTTAGCCATATCACCACCTTCACCCACTGTCATTTCTGTAGAACGTTTATGTATCAATTTTATTTTGTTTGCGAAACCATTTTCTTTTATAATTGTTACAGCGCACATAGCCATGGGACTGAAAGCCTAAAAATAAAAAAATAAAAGTTTGGTCGGTATCATTTATATTTAACTGTAGCAGAGGTAAATAATTTACTGAGACATTACATCAAAAACAAAATTGAACACCTCTCTAAAGTACTATAATACAATATTATAAAAAATACTGATTGCTACAAAAGTTTATTATTTATAATTAGAGGGTTCTGATGAATTTTTATAATAGTAGTTATATGAAAAACATGCAAAAATAAAAAAAATTTGAAAGTATCCAAACAACTGACTACTAAAATACATATATATATATATATATTATATATAGCATAATAAAATACCTCGCATGCTGTTATACTATCTGCTCCACATTTTGCTGCCATCATAGATAATAAGCCAGTACCAGTACCAATATCAAGTACATTAGCTTCTTCTCCAGCTTGATGTTTTTTTTTAATAGCAGCCTCAAGTGCTACATTATATTTATAATTCTACATAATCAAAAACATCACTTTTTTATTTTCTTATACAAAAATTGTATTATTTATATTAAAAATACTAACTCTTTCATGATCGTGCAACATATCAGCAAATGCTGATCTAGCTACTTCCTGGTGATAGTCATAATCTTGGTCCTTTTCTTCCCAAGTCGCAGTACCCGTAATAGGATTTAAACATTGAGTGAATAAAGTCATTTTACCAGCAGATAAACGACGTATGAATAATTTAAGCATATGATCTTCAGACTATCACTAATTTATACAATTTTTAATACTATTGATTAAATAAATACAAATGTGATCAATTACTAAAAAACAAAGAAAAACAATTTAACCAATGTGAATTATTTAATATCAGATTAAAAAAGTATTTCTTTAAAATGTATACTTAAATTACTTAATATACTATTTTATTTTTAAAAATCAGAGAAAGAAATATTAATGTATATTATATTTATCGTATGAATACATGCTTGTTTGAAAATATAATAGAAATTTTAAATAGTTAACACATAAATAATTCATAAAATAATATTAAATTCTAAATGTTCACAAAAAATATAAACAACTCTTAAGAAAACCCCAACCACACTATTCACACGATGCTTTCACTCATTTAATCCATAGAAGATTAAGAATAACTAGAAGAGAAATTAAACGACCAATATTGTGAATTAACCCTAAACCTAACCATCAGTTGATAAGGAAGTTTTCTAATTCATTATTGATAATTTGAAAAGATAGAGAGTTATCTTATCGGCACGGCATTTATTTCAACATTCAACTGACAACAATATATATGTACAATTTTACGTATATCCAATATTATTTTATATGTTAATATGTATATATATCTATATACATACATACATACATCAGTGTATATAGGTATATATTATTTTATTTATTTATTATATTTATATGATATAATCATAACAATAACTACTATTCGCTTTTATATTCTATTAATTATTGCACAAACTACATCTTAATCGTATCTCGTATAATATATCAATAATAAAACTTCAATTACACGATATTAATTATTATGATATAAATGCTTCGTAGCATAATAAACTAATTAGAGTCACTTTATATTATGCTTAATTTCACGTTTAATTGAAATTTTATAGATACACGCGCGGATACATTATTGAAATATGTTGCTTTTTTCAAAATATAGTTGTAAATCAATAATTGAAAGCATATATATATATTAAACTTCCCCCATTGTCTCCCGATCTGAACCCACTAGAACACCTATGAGGTTTACTGAAAAGAGCAGTTGTCAATTTCGATCATAATTCGAGCTGTATTATTGAATTGTGGTCAAAAGTAAAAGTCGCTTTGAAAAAAATTAAGCCTGAAGAATACAAAAATTTAGTATATAGCATGCCAAGACGCATAAAAGCCGTATTAAAAGCTAAAAGAGGGTATACAAAGTACTAAAATTTTGTTTTTCCCAGACACAAAAAATTAATCAAATCCCGAATTTGTTAATTTTCTTTAATTTTGCTTAAAATATGCAACATATTTAAATTATTATTTCTGTACTATATAAATAACAAAAGTTATGTATAATGTGTAACATATTTAAATTATTTCTGTACTATGTGAATTACGAAAGCTATGTAACAATTTAAAAACTGTGAGAACATTTGATCAATTGTTTGAGTCACTGTATATATATACATATATATATATATATA